GCCGGCTGAAGTCTTTGCGGTGTGTTCCAGTGCGACACATGGCCAAGACGCAGGAGACGTGAGGAGACGTGAGGCGACGTTCCGTCGGGACATGTTTTTAGTGTTCTTTGGTGTCAGTTTGGTGTGTAAGGACCTTTAGATGAAAATAAGGAGCCACTCCCCACGCCCCTCTGAGAGATATTTGGTTAAAAATAACACAATGGTGCTCTAGGAGGAGATTCAGGTGATAAAGTGTGTGTGGGGGGGGGGGCTAATGGTTACACAAGCCAAAAAAACATTATGACATCATAAAGTGACCAAAATCTGATCAGCTCATTTTCAGACAGGTTTTTATATAAATGGATCAGGACAAAAGTGAGAGAATCTTTTTTCCTGAAACTTTCAGAATCTCTTTACACAGAGGGGACACATGTTGATGTAGAAAAGACGTGAAAAAGTGGATTTGTAAACTAGTACCAAACCAACCAGCTAACACTAACCATGAAGCCAAATAGGGCCAGGGGCATAAAGTGATTGGACCAAATGGGCTCTTTTCCACTTCCTACATCCCCCCCTGCTTCGGCCATTATTTTAAACACCTGATGAAAATACTGAAACTTCCTCTGTGGTGGTTTGTGTGCCTGCTATCGATTTGCTAGAAAATGGGGATTGACTATACTGGAGAGAAAGAAAAATGATGATTTCCACATGCACAGCCTTTAAGGTATGGATTGCCATGGCAACATCCCTGACCACCCTTCTGTTTACATTTATCACCATGGAAACAGCTTCAGCCTTTGAGCAAGGACGTGCTTGGACTCTGTACAACCCCATGGTTGGGAACCCACAGATAATTATGATGTGACCTTGCAGCTCCCCTCAGCATTTACCATGTTTCAGCTCTTTATTTAGTTTTTCTGACACACTGACTGTTTCTGCAGGCAGCTGTTTACAGAGAGAGATGTCTGAAAGAAGAGAAACAGCATTGACTTCATCTTCTTTTCTTCAATGGCTGGAGTTCAAAGAAATGACCTCACATCTTGGAGGTCCTCTGCTCGTATTACTGGGGTGGAAGCAGTGAAGATGAGGAGTCAAATGGATGAGAAGGAAGTCTGTATGATACACGACCTGAGAGAGTGGACTGCCCATTATTCAGGGCCCATTGATCCGAAAAGCCAATCTTCTCAAAAATGATCGAAAGCCCAACAAACATCAATGGCTCAAATGTCTATTTATCTGAGCATACATACCCCCTACAACTCTATTTCAAAATTCTGCCAATCCCAATTATTCCAACAGTTTTCAAATGTGGGTCTGTTTTTTTACATATAGCATTTAAATAAATACGTATGTGTTTAAGTTAATAGTTGGTACTTGATGTGTTGTAACCTTGTTGATTACCGAAATCAAGCATTCAACGATAGAGGCAGCATATTTGTATTTGTGAAAGAACACAAGAGCGATGTATTAGTAAATATATAAGACATGTATTAAACTTTATTTTCAATTATAATAATAAAAGAAAATTGAACCCTGACCCTTTTGGCACAACAAAACATAGAGAGTGACGGATTTAAAGAATTATAATATGATCTCACGTAACAAGAGCTTCCCATGAATGAGAGGGTTAGTGAAGGGCTTATTAGCCATAGATGAAGCTCTTAGTCCAACCCTGGCTGTAAGACATGGAAAAAAAAATGAATAGGCACATTTCCCTCTATGAGCCTCATGTTTGCTTAAGAGATTCGTGATAAAACAGACTCTTATAAAGGTGATGTCATGATTTGGCTTCTGTTGTACTGGTAAAAACGGATACAAACACATGCTCACACTTGTTTTATGATGTTAGCATTCCCGTTCCCAGCAGCTCTGCCTAATCCAATATACCTGGGGGCAGGACGGTGGTACATTATTAAAGATGATTTAGTCAGGATTATTTAGGCTCCATTCAATAGATTACAGACATAAGAGAAGTTAACAGTAGCAGAAGTTACGTCAGGGTGCGGCTGGTCTCGAAGGTTACACAGAGTGAATGGCATGCACCAATTAGCTTATAATGAATAACTGTGGGTGGAGCATCAGCTGTTTGAATATAATGTGAATGGTTTATTTGTGATGAATTGGTTGAAATGACCTAATATTGGAGTAGACACCATGAATGATGTTACTCAGAATTGAGTTTTGAGTAAAAGTGCTTTGACATTGTTGAAGAGAAGGCTATATGTCTAGATATAGACCCGGGGAATGTCTGAATAAGTCTAAAAGGGCAGAAAGAGAGGGGACGGAATGCAGCAAAGGGTTCTGAGCCAGATTTGAACCAAGACTGCTGCTAAGGAAGACATCTTAGTACATTGGGCCTTGCTACCTGGTGAGCTACCGGAAACAACCACCATTATCGTTCTGTTATGGGAGAAACCACAATCCAATTGTTTGTTTTTCTTTAAAATATCTAACATGGTCTTGGGCAGTAAGGGAAGGGGAATGCTGGCTGAAACCTGGCAACATGTGTAGAGTCAGATCACTTCAACTGTAACACAACCTCCTTTTTGGCATTTAAAGTTCAGTTTTTAGCTCCAGGACAACTTGAGAGTAACTGGGCTAAGCTCTGCCAGATAAACAGCCACACACACACACACACACACACACACACACACACACACACACACACAC